CAAGGGATCTTTAACGTGCGAAACTTGCACATGGATCCTCAGAGATTTTTCGCCCTTGTTCGAGAAGGCTAGGTGGGTAGATCTTTCCTATCACTCAGAAGATCAGGGGTGTGGCTGAAAGACAGCAGTAAGAAGAAGCGAAGGAGTAGCAGTAGAAAGGCTGCAGAAAGAAACAGGAGCCCAGAGGAAGGGGCAAAGGAGGTGAGGGGGTAGGGGCAGAAAGAGGAGACGAAAGCAGACGACAGAACATTGCTAGCTGACTAGACCAGGAACTGAGGTGAAAGGAGACAAATTTGGAGGGGAAAATTTTTCGGTCGCTACCCGGATTCGAACCCGGGACCTTTTGAATGAGAGGCCAACACCTTAAACCTCTAGGCCACGAGAGCCCCTACACGTACAAAGTTACGCACATTGGAGTTCCAGTCCGAAAAAAACCACAATGTAAAATTCAGTGAATAATAAAGAACTAATTTAAAATCTAGATTAGAAGTTACTTTAATGAACTGGGAACAAGGGGAATTGCTGTGCAGAGGGAAAAAATCTCTAGATCTAGATTTGCCCTCTAGATATCTAGATCTAGATCTAGATCTAGATTTAGATCTATGGCCTCTATGGTCATGGACATGATGTCATTGACATGTGAGTGGGAGTCGTGATGAAAGTGAATTGAATTGGCTTGCTCAGCCAGTCTTGATACCATTCAACCCTTTGAACGCTCAACTCTTGTGAGTTTTAAAAATAAAATACAAATTTAATTTTACCTGCCCATGGTCCGTATCTCTTGACCCAATATTCATTATCAACAGACGAGAGTTGGCATACCAAGTGCAGGTTGATGGCTTCGAAAGCATACGAAGCAATTGCAATAGATTTTCTGGCAACGTAATAGGCTCCTATCAAAGCAAAAACGTCACGTACGTCTGAGAATAATTCGCGTGCCTCATTTTCAAGTTGACGCCATAAGTGTATGAAACTATCTATTGACTCGTGTCTCATTTTTCAAAATTGTGGATGGAGAAAGTAGATCTAGCCTTATAATCGTTAGTCTGTTTTGTTCTTGCAGCAGTCGCCACAGCTGACACTCTGCACTCAACATTCAACACACTTCCCTCCCTTTCCTTTCCTGTTGAAGATGCACGTCGTCTCAAATTTATTTCGTCATTTTAAAGACCCACAAAAAAACTTCGGAGCCTGTACGTCATGTAGTCTTGCTTTATCGACTTTGCGTTGACAAAATATCTTTTTTGAAATTTGATAAACAACATGAGTAAAAATCATATATGGACTAAATGCTACGCCAGATCTACAAGTAGATCTAGAGTCTAGATTTAAAAGCCGGTAAAACTTGCGATTATCATAAGAGGACAACTGTAAAAGTGGCTGATAATAATTTTAAAAAAATAGTAAAATGGGTTTAAAGCTCCTTACGACACCAACAAAGGTAAAAAAGTGAGTGAATTCAGAACTCTGACTGTTTGTCCATTAATTATTCTTCTCAGTCTCAGTCTTTCCGACAGTTTGAGCAAAGTCAGTTTTCTTTCCATATCGCACTGACTTAAAAGCTACGTTAACAGTCTCACGATGAAGGAAACAACGACGGATAGGCCTACTGTGTTCCCAAAAGACTACCACGTACTCGACGATAACGTAAAAACACTAGATCTAATTGTCATTTATTGAAATACAGTTTGACGAAATAGCTTCTTCAGTATATTTTTGTTTGTTTCTTTTATATATTTTTTCTTCTTCTTTCGATCTTTGGGAGGAAGAGAGAGAGAGAGAGAGAG